TCTCTCTCTCTCTCTCTCTCTCTCTCTCTCTCTCTCTCTCTCTCTCTGTGTGTGTGTGTGTGTGTGAGTGTGTGTTATTTGAAGCTACTTCTATGGCTAGTCAACCTTAGACATTTCAGACTAAAAAGCAGAAATATAGTATTACTCTATTCTTTCATTTGATTCTGGCAGTCAAAGTAAGGGCACTGCAATATTTATCACAAATGAATAATTCAAAAAATAATAAGCACTGAAACAAGATGCTCAAAATTGAGATAAAGTACCAGCAGAATAATTTGAGCTTGAAAAATTGAGACTTCCTCTGATATTTGCAGTATCAGAGCAAGACTGATAGAATTGTGAGCAAGTGAGAATAGTGGGGGGAAGAGTTCAGGGGGAGGAGAACATGCTCTGCTTTTGAGGGGGACTTGTGAATCTGGTAATTCTAAATTGCAAAACAAGAAAGATGGAGACAAAGATGTGTCCTACATAGTGCTGTGAAAAGCCAAAGTATACTTAGCTCCCTTGCATGTGGTCCCCAAATTTAGCAGCCTCAGAATAGTGACCCACCACAGAATTCCATCAGCCACTGACACTTCTGCTTTATTTCCAGGACAAAGCAGAAGAAGGTATTTCTGTCATTTCTAATAAAGTACTTAGCAATTGTCACCTATAACAGCCAGATTAAGTAGAATTATGAATTCCCAATATTTAGGCCTATCATGAGCATGGAATGAATTGATTTCCTCTAACTTGTCTTTGGCTTTTCTCAGTCTGTGACTTCCATCCTCAGATTTCTCAACAACTGATACTTCTTCCATCTAACATGCCCTCCTAACGTAATTCATGGTTTTATTAATTTCACCTAGTCAGTGTTTACTCCCATCCTCTTGGATTTTCTTGAACATATTTATAATTGTTATTTCTAAATCATTGTCCTGTGTATCATCTAAATTGTTTTCCCAGTGAACATTACTGTGGTAGTACTAATTTATGGAGATGTATTATTGGTTTTTCATACAATATTTTTTGTAAAATGACCTTGGCATCTGGAGTTATGTTCTTGGTAGTGATTTTTGGTATGTATATTTGTGCCACTTGTGTAGAGTGGCTGTTTAGATCTTTGTTTGCTGCTACTCAAACTTTTCTGATTATGAGCCAGCAGAATGGCGTTCAAGATTCAGTCCTGGGGCCACTCAGGTGTCGATGTACAAATGAGATATCTGAAGTACTCTAAGCTTAGCAAGGTAGGGCTAGGTACAGCTTCTGATGACAGCAGTGGACCTTCCAGAGAGTTAGTGGGTGCTTATTGCAGATGCTCAGAAGTCAGTGGAAGGCTTGCTTCACCATCACGTTACTGGTCCTTAGGTGGCAGGTGCTTAATACATATAATGATGAAAGAAATAAAAAATTTAAATAATTTCAGAAGAGGGTAAAGACACGCTTACATCTTCGTATGAGAAACAGTAATCAACATGTAAAAGATAGAGAAATCACCTTTGTGGAAGAATATATTTCAGAACTCCACATTTTATGTGGTTCATTTAAAAAATATGTCTAAAATCATGGACATTCTCATTTTTAACATGAGTGTTTAATCAACAGAAGGGAAGAATGATGAGTATGTATTCACATTATGATAAAGTGACAGCATTTCTGTTACATGGCAGTGTTACTAAGTGACAAGACAGAGAAAGGCAGGAGAAGTGGATATCAGGCATCGAATATGAGCAGTTGAATTGCCTACTGATCAAAATTCAGGGGAAAAGAGGTCTCTTGCATTCACTCTACCCAAGTAATTCAAGCCCTAAACATACATGGACAGTTTGTACAGGCCTGTAAAACTATAAAACTATGCTGGATGTTAGTTTTATATTGCTTTCTACTGAGGATGTTTGCTGAGCATACTCTAAGTTATGCAGGTCTCATGATAGCCTGAAACTAGACAGTGTAATGGGAGAGACAGGAAGATGCTGATGTGAGTTGCGATGTTCTTTCCAGTGTTTGGCTGCAAGCATTTAGGAGAAGTTAGGTGAAGAGCAACTATTTGCTTATTCATAATTAAATTTGTAAAAGAATCTTTATATATTGGATACCTACAAATTGAAAAACTGTCACCCACATTTTGGCAGCGAAATAAATACTTAATGACTCACTTATTGACCCTCTAATATATACCATTTAAGAAAACCTTGGTAATTAAGGCAACATAATGAAATATGTGTGCCTACATACATATTTCACTAATAACATCTTACTGAAACTAAAAGGAATCAAATACCTGTTTCTTGTTTAGTTTGTTGAGATTTCTTTTATTACTTATTTATTTTGCTCAGTGAATGCTTACAAGACGTCTAGCAAACACCAAACATTGATGTGCCCTTTAAAGAATAGCAAACACTTTCTGTTCTGATAAGTTATATCCTGACACATGGTTCATGATTTTCATGCAGAGTTTGCTGAACAGGACTGAAGCAGGCAGGTATATTGTTTTCATTAATGTCCCCTTTAGTCAAATACAACTGCATAATAGTTGCTCTATAGAAACATGAGATGCCTCCACAATCCCTCACTGGTGTATGTTTAAGAATCACAGAAAAGGCATGTCTAGGCAGACAGCACAGATCAGCTATTGAGAGAGCATAACATTCAAGTTTCAAACATGCCTGGATTAGAATCTCTATCCTAAAGCCCGTTCCTATGGGTAGTAAGAAGCCCAGTGAAGTAGAAATAATAGGAAACAGCAGTTCACATATTAGTCTGTGCATTAAATTAGGCAATTTACTGGAAATCAAACACATGAGCTAGCAATAGGAGAGGGCACAAACATTTTTCTTTAAAAGAAATAAAACAAAATAAAATACTGTAGTATTTACTATGTGGCAGGTGTTTTTCCAGGTTACTTAAACATAAACTTAACTCACTTTCTTATGAGACAAACAAATATTCTCATTTTATATTTATTGGGAAGGTCAACAACTCATTTAAGGTCTATGTCCTTAAAACTGGGACTATGGTTTCTGCTTTAACGCCATGCATAGCACTGATATTGTTTTTTTCTAGCATGGATTACTTGTCTGTTGTTATTCTACAAACATTTATTATATCAGTTGCTGTAGTTGGTGTGCTGGCTAGTTTTATGTCAACTTGACAAGCTAAAGTCATTTGAGAGGAGAGAGTCTTAATTGAGAAAAAGTCTTTATAAGATCAGGCTATACACAACCCTATATGTCATTTTCTTAGTGACTAATAGAGGAGGACACAGCCAATTGTGGGTGGTACCATCCATGGTCCAGTGGTCCTGGGTTGTATAAGAAGGCAGGTTGAGCAAGCCATCAGGAGCAAATCAATAAGCGTGATCCCTCCAACAGCTCCTGCCTTCCGGTTTCTGCCCTCCTTGAGTTCCTGCCAGGACTGGTTTTGATGATGAACTGTTATATGGAACTGTGAGTGAAATTTAAAAAAAAAAAAAGCCTCTTTTGTCTACAAGTTGCCTTTAGTCATGGTGTTTCCTCAGAGAAATAGTGACCCTAATGAAGACTGTCAGGAATGTATCTGACTGGGTTTCATAGCTCTGGCATCATGGTTCATGGTCTAGGTGACCTTATTTGCTAAAATCATCTCAAAGTTCTAACAGGGATGAATCTATCACCAAACCAACTCAGGTTGTTGGCAGGAGCTGGCTCATCCTGGGCTGTTAAGTTGAAGAAGTCAGTTCTTTGCTAGGTTTTGGCAAGAAGATGTCCTGTGCACTCTATCACACAGGATGGCTCATAAATTCCCAATGGTGTGAGCAAGTGCGAACGCAAGAGAGCGGTAAGCATCAGGAAGATGAAGGCACAGGCTTTTATGACTTATTTTTGGAAATGTTGTACCTTCAGTTTTTCCTTATTCTATGAGTTAAATGTGTGTAACTGGGTCCAGCCCAGCCCAAGGGAAGGGGTGATGACTAGGAGGCAAGGGGCAGCAGAAGGTTCGAGAATTGCGTACCACATATGGGGAACCATCAGTGCCCCCTCTTCCCTATACCTTTCTTTCCTTATTGAGTGGATTTGATATCAAAAGGCAGGCTGCTGTGGCCACCAGAGCACCAATATGTTGTCATTGTGCTTCATGCTAAGCTTTATTTAATTTTTACAACAATGCCCTGTTTTCAACTGAGTATTAGTGTTAGAGACTATAGCATACAATTTAAAGCTTTTGTGACTTTTCACATAAAATTAGCCATTTTTAATATCGTTAAATTGTCCTTTGGATATCCTTTGCTGAGAGGTGACATGAGGATTTACACTTTTCCCACCGGTCTTTACATTATTAAATGTATTTCTGTCACTTCAGAGTTGAGGGTTATTTAAGAGCCTGGACTGAACATCCTATCGATTCTTGCACACATCCTGTTGCTCCAAGCTAGCAAAGTGGTCCAGCTTAAATGTGATTTTCTGTGTGTGTTCTGGACAAAATGAAATAGGGAACCAAATGACTGGACAACCATCAGTCCAATACTAATGATTCTTGTTTCATGAAATTATGTGTGTGGATATGTGTGTGTGTGTGTATACATGTGTGCACACACACATATACACATGTATATATATTATACAAATGCTCATAATATTTGACTCCAATTTATTTCTTCATTCCATTTATTTTCATTTTTATTGGAAAAGTCACTGCAAATGCAGAACGTATATAAATCATATACAGTAACTTATCATGTAACTACAATATGATTAAATAAGAAACTATGCAGTTATCTTCCAAATCCAGAACCTGAATAGCAGGCATCCCAGAAGTGTCTGAATATTCTAACACTCATAACCCTTGCTGTCTGCATTTTCCAGTTACTATTTTCTCTTAACCTTACCATAACTAGCCTCCTTATTTTCTCCCTAGTTCTGAAGATTGACCTCTATCTTCTGCTAGACAGGAGCTTTGCCACTGAACTCAATGATAGGCCTACTCTCTCCTTCTCTCAGCCGAGCATTTTAGTATTTGCTGTTTCATCTGACTGTCTCCACACCCTCCTCACTCACAAGCCATCATCCCTTATAGACCATCTCTAGTAGAAATGTCCTTTCTGCTCCCCTGCTCCCCAATGACTTCTTATTACTTCAGCTAACAAATGCCTTTTAGCCTTTATGTTGCTGAGTCTGTGGTTCAAATTTGACTATGATGATAATTTGCTCTTAAAACCCTTGATTTTTCAGAGCACCTTCCTCTTTCGTGATTCTAGCTCATCCTTTCCACATTTCTTGCAGGTTTACTCTTCTCTACCAAGTCTAAATGTTTTGTGTTTTAATGAATGTGAGAATATCTAACACACTTGTTCCCACTCATTAACACAACCATTAAATTTATATGTTTAGTTGAAACTGTGAGCTCCAGACACACAGGGTTCTTTTCTTTCTGCCAATTCTACATAGGCAATTCATATATATCACTAGACAATTAAAATTGTTTCAGTTTTGCACAGGTGCAATGATAGTATTATCATCTGGAATCTACTGGGCTCTTCTCTGGCATTGTGTTAAGGGCTTTATACATGTTAATTCATTTGAAATTCTACTTTAACCGTGGATACTCTTAGCTAATTACTGTTATCACTATGTAGATGAAGACACTCAAGCACGGGGCTGTTAATCATATTGCTCAAAGTCACAAAACAATATGAAGAATAAATAGCCTTGATCTCAAGTCTGATACTCTGATGCCATTTCAATCTTCCTAACTCCTGCGCTATAGCTTCCTGTGATGTCAGGGCTCGTGTCTAAGCCTAATGACCATAAATTCAATTCACTATAAGAATTAGTATTTGATTTAGGAAGTCAAGGAGAACAGATATTTACACTTTTGTGAAATAACCCCAGTGTTCTAGATAGTTGAAGATACTTGCCAACAGTATGTAGTTTAACCCGAGGGTGACATGAAACTTGAGTTTCCAAAGGTAGCACTGTCTGCTTCTATTAATGATCAAGCCCATTATACTATGTACATTTCTATGCCTAGCTATATATAATGAGTAGTAGGTGAATTTCTGTTCATTTAAGGTGGGTCTGTATCTGGAGAGATGCTCTGAGAATATCAAGCCAAGAAGGAAATTAAAAATACATTATGCATGTGGTTATAAATGTAGTATATACATTTATAAGTGTTAGATCCTTAAAATTTGTCCATGACCTCATTTTAAAGAAAAATATGATAAAAGAATGAAAATTTTTCTTTGATTTAGCCAGATTATATGCCCCCCTCACTCTGTGTGTGTGTGTGTGTGTGTGTGTGTGTGTGTGTGTGTGTGTAAGTTAGAGGTCAATATTGAGTGCTTTCCTCCATAACTGCCTGTTTATGATCTGAGACAGAGTAACTGGGTCTGGAGCTCACTGACTGATGAGACTGACTAGCCCAGAAGCTCAGGATCTTCCTGGCTTTGCCTCCACAGCACTGAGTCTACAGGCGTGTGCTGCCATGACCAGATTTTTCTACAACAGTGCTAAGGATCTAAAAGTCATGTTTTCATCCACTGAGCTATCTCCCTATGCTAGAAATGCTTTAAAGAAAGACAGAAGCATTTCCCAGTTGACAGTTTCCATAAAAAGACAAATCAATGGTGTGTGATTCTGAAAACACAGATTAGCATGTGTGTTGGGATGATGGGATGCTTTTGCTTTATTCTCTTTAAATTAGTGTCATAGCACCTATGATTGATTTACCGGATTTCTCAGAATTTACTTTGCTAGTTCAATATGTTCCAAAATAATCTCCCATTTTCTCTCTCTTTCTTTCTCTCTCTCTCTTTTTTAGATGATGGTGGGTCAAAAATCCATTTGATTCAACAGGTAGACATGGCAGCACAGGTGGCTTCTGGAATGGCCTATCTGGAGTCTCAGAACTATATCCACAGAGATCTGGCTGCAAGAAATGTCCTTGTTGGTGAACATAATATCTACAAAGTAGCAGATTTTGGACTTGCAAGAGTTTTTAAGGTAAATTTAGTTTTGTTTTAATTAGTTCTTATAATAGGTTAATACAGCAATAAGTTCACAATTATTATTTAAAACTATTTCTCGGCTAGGTGTGGTACTAAACACTTAGGATCCCAACATTCAAGAGAGTGAGGCAGGAGGATTTTGGGTTTGAGGTCACACTGAACCTTGTCTCCAAATAATAATTGCAACAAGAGCAACAAAGCCACACACACACAGAAGAAACAAATAAAACTGTCATGTTGTCTGTCTATGGTCCATTGATAAAGACAAGTTGTGTAAGACCTAACAGACAGAGTGCTTTTCTATTTCTAGGGAGTGGACAACCAAGAGAAAACAGTGTTCATGTAGATTAATAAATAGGTAATTAAATTCATCATTGAATTTCTTGTCAGATGCTACCAGCACCACTCATCTGCTTTCACATATTCCTCCTCCAGAAAGCAATAGACTGCATCTAGCTTTGCTCACTTGTCAATAGGCTGAGGTCATGCTGCCATGATTCTGCAACTATTACTAGCTTTGTGTATTCTTGCATGTGTATGGGCATGTCTGTGTTTTATATACATGTGTGCATGTGTGCTTTTCTCTTTGTGAATACATGCAGAGGCCTGGAGTTGAAATTGAGATGTCTTCTTCAATCCTTTCTGTACCTTGATAAAATGGTTCTAGCAATTCTTTGAGGATTTCATACAATGTATATTGATAATATTCATCCCTTCTCCCTAACTTCTCTCAGACCTAGCTCTCACCTCTCTACCCCTACAACTTCTCGTTCTCATTCTCTCTCTCTCTCTCTCTCTCTCTCTCTCTCTCTCTCTCTCTCTCTCCTTCTCCTCCCCTACCCCCTCTCTATCCCTCTCTTTCTCTTTCTCCTGAGACAAACTGCACTTGCCATAGGGCAAATTTCTCACTGAACCCATAGTTATCATTTTGGCTAGACTGGCTGGCCGGCAGGTCTCTTGGAACCACCTGTATCTTTATCCTCAACTCTGTGTTACAGACATGTAATCATATCACCTAGTTTTTATGCGGGTGCCGGCAACCTGAACTCATATCTTCATACTTTCTCAGAGAACATGTTGTCCACTGAGCCATCTCTCCAAAACTAAACCACTGGGTTTTCATTTACCAGTACTCACCCTGTTTTGTGAAATCAATCAAAAAAGACTAATAATAAGACATCATATGAGGTGTTTAAATCTGGACTTAACTTTTGATTTCCACATTGATCACTAAAAATATGAATGTAGAACATGAAACGCAACATGTAGGGATTCTCTTTTCATATCATTTTTCTTAATTTTTAGAAATTAATTAGAAAGCTACTATGTTGATAAATTAATAAATTATTCACATAACACTTTTTAGGTATTAGCAAGTGCTTTAGATGATAATCAATGCCAGCTTTAAAAGTTTTATTTATTTTTATTTTATGTATATGTGTTTTCCCTGCACTTATGTGCATCTGTGCACTTATGTCACAGCAGAATCCAGAAGATACCAGATCTTCTGGAACTTGAGTTACAGATGGGTGTGTGCTACCATTTTGGTTCTAAGAACCAAAACTGTATTGTTATCAAGAACTGCAAATGATCTTAACTACTGAATTATCTCCCTAGACATAGCTCTTAGCTCTTCACTACTAAGAGAAAACAACAACAACAAGAAAACAAAAACAAAAACAAAAAAACAAAACCAGACATCCTTTGCTTCTCCCCCTCTTTCTTCAGTTTGTAAAGGACTTACGTAAATCCAAATGATCACAAATTCTCCTGCGTGCAATAGAATGACACTCCTCAGAGCCTCAAGACACACCTTGCTGATGACGTTTCACTGATTTTTCTAGTCTTATATGTTTGGTTCAGAGTTTGATATTATAATGCAAATCAACCTAAGCCCATATTGAATATTTGCCTCTACATTTTCATGTGACACAGGTTACAAATAAACAAGGGTAGCACAACAGATCACTAACTTGGCTTGAATCTTTGATGCATTAACAGGTGGATAATGAAGACATCTATGAATCTAAACACGAAATAAAGCTGCCAGTGAAGTGGACTGCACCAGAAGCAATTCGTACTAATAAATTCAGCATTAAGTCTGATGTGTGGTCTTTTGGAATCCTGCTCTATGAAATCATTACTTACGGCAAAATGCCTTACAGCGGTGAGTGATTACTTCAGAAGTGGGCCTTCCTGTTGCAGGTCACTTGCGAAGATGTGGCTTTAACTGCTTTGCATAGACTTAGAGGGTAGAGTTATGAGGCTGACCGTACCATGTGCCTGGAGGAACCCGATAGATAAAATTTGATGATGATAATTTCCATTAATGAAGTAGTTTATTACTTTCTTCTCCTTTGCTCTTGAATTGCAGTCTTATAGACTCCGCTTGCTGCAGGTTTTAGTTTAGTGTCTACAGCCTGGGAAATGGATGGTGGGTCTCGTGATGGGCTTTTTCAAGGGAAAAAAAATTCCTTTATAACCCAGAGTTTAGTGTCAGCTATAATTTGAAGATTCTGATCGTCCACTTTTTGTTCTGTTCTATATATCTTAGGTAAAACAGGTCCTCAAGTAATCCAGATGTTGAGTCAAAACTACAGACTACCACAGCCACCTAACTGCCCACAGCAGTTCTACAGCATCATGCTGGAGTGCTGGAATGCTGAGCCTAAGCAACGGCCAACATTTGAGTCCCTGCATTGCAAACTTGAAGACTACTTTGAAGAAGACTGTTCCTATTCAGATACAAATAACTTCATAAACTAGACATCAAGGAAAAGAGAAGAAATATAATGAAGATGTGAAAATGTGGGACTCATCAGTCCAGAAATATCGTCTACTCAACTGACTGTGAAATCAGCTTATTTTGACATATTCAGGTGGTAGGATGAACTCACCTGTGTATTCCATATCAAAAAGATAATCTGTGTGTTTTATTGACTAGAAAACACTGCAGGACAGTATAAGATGATGTGTCATTTTTTTCTCACTGCCTGGTAAAATCAATCACACTAAATGAAGTTATTTTTTTCCTTTCAAGAACTCCTCACATTTCTATTTATTGTTTGAAATGCCGATCAAGAGAATCAACAGATGACAGTGTTTACTCAGTTTCTCTTGTGGCATTTTCCTGTTTACTGATTAGACTGGTTATTCATTATTCCTCAAATTGCTGAATCCCATCAGGCTGTTATTATGAAGGAATCTGATTGCTTTGCCGCACAGCAGGACCTGTGCTTTGAGATATTTTTTCTCTCTTTTAAAATATCCTGAAACTACAATGATGGCAAAGCCATGTTAAATGACTTGATTGTACTTGAAGTAATTGCACATATTTTTCCTATGCATAAGAAAATGAAGCAGCTGTTGAGAAAAAGAATTAAAATCTTTCTCATTTTGTAGAAGGAAATGATGGAGTTTGCTCTATACCTCAGTATGTGTCATCAGAGAATCATCTGCCTTAGTTTTAATCTCTTAATGTCAGGAATCAGGTTGCAAAGCCGATGAATTGTTATTTATGGGAATATAAGGGAAAATACCACATTCCCTACCAGGTCTGAGAAATAGATATTAAAGTGGCTTAGTGAAACTAGCAGAGAGCTGGAGGATTGCTACAGCTTTCTAAGTAATAATAAAAAGTTCCTTTGGCATACAGGCCTGTTTTAAATTGGCTGTAAAACAGGCCAAGCCGTGCTGAACGTGGTTATGAACTGTAGCTTTTGTCTGCTAAGACTGGATGCTCTTTAGTATCTTAATTTTTTTCTAACCTTGGTAAGAACTTCCATGTTTTCTTAGGCAATGAGTGTATGAAATGTTCTGTCCTATTGGGTGAGTAGCAAGACCTCTCCAAAGTCAGCTCCATATATTCTAGGTTCTTCTAATGTGCAGTGCTGAATCAACCTTCCAAAAGGAAACAGAGTATATCAAGTTTATCCTTCACCCTTCTTTAAGAGAGAAGAGAATATCTAGATGGTCCCAAGGATCCCCTGGGAATTAAAAAAACATATCAGTTCTTTCAACCGGGAACTAGGAGGCAAGGTATCAGGGACTAACCATTAGCTGTTTGGTGATGTCATTACCCTAGCTACATTTCTGTTGCCATGGTAGAAATCCTGACAAAAAGAAACTTAGAGGAGACAAGGTTTATTTTAGAAGGTTTACAATTCTGGGTCATTGCATCACAGCAGGAAGTCCCAGTGACAAGAGCTTGAAGCTGATTATATCACCTCTGCAGTCAAAGAGGAGAGAGACATGACAATGTGCATGCATGGCTTGTTTGCTTACTTGTGCTCAGGTCAATTTCTACACTCTTAAAAAGTTTGAGACACCTTTGCCTAGGAAATAGCTTGTCACACAATGGCCTGGATCTTCCAGGATCAATTAACTTAATTAAGACAATTCTTTACAGACATGCCCACAGGCCAGTCTAATACAGAGAACCATTGTCAATTCATTGTGACTCTTTCTGGGTGATTCTAGGTGCTGACAAATTGTTAATTATAGCTGGTCAATAGACCACTTAAGACTCAAATTCTATCAAACTATCCCATCTACTGAAAGCATTGTCTGTGTTAGACTGGTCACAGTTGGCCACCAGTGGTAAGTGAGGCTCTCTTGTATTCAAGAAGACAAAATAGGCAACTTCACTCTTAGGCAGTATCCAAAGCTTCTTAAACACACACACACACACACACACACACACACACACACACACACACACCATTCCTATTTTGGAGGGGAAGCAGGTGGCAAATGCAGTCCTGTGGTCAATGGACAGCAATCAGTACAGTGAATGTGAATGCCAAGTGTTGTCTGGCTTGGAAGAAAGTCTGCACAGAAGCTGGAGATATGAACTTCTCCAAGACAAGCTGCTTATTTGAATAAAATTAGAGATTAGTTGCTAGGTAGGTGTCCACTAACAGAACTACTTAAGATGAATTAACTGTTGGAATTAATCTATGTACATGTATGCATTCATTTATCATCTCAAACATTTCTGAAGACTTTAATCTGGATCATGTGTAAAGACTATAGACGTGCTCAGAGAAGGAAAAGCATTTGTAAGATAAGGTCACCATTAATATTTTAATCAGTTGACAGAGCATGGGATAGCTTCAATGGTTTATTTCAGATCATCTGGTTTAGTGTAACCAAGGAGCAGACAATCAACAACTAGTTGGCTAAAATGAAATTGAAAACAAAAAAAAAGGACTCCTTTTCCTGAGTTCATCTCTTCAGGACAGATTCTTCTTGGTGCATATGTAGAAATAAGGGACAGTATTCCCATTTCATTGTGCAAATTCAAATGCTGTGTACTTTTATGTGGTAGCTGATACTAATAAATTTGTAGTAAGATCTGGCTTTGAAATATAAAATGGTTATCCGTTCCTGCTTTAATACCATCTGAAACTTGTTTAACTCACTGTGTTTGATTCTTGGAGACATTTATGTTCAAGGCTCTGTCAAAGCAATCTATTATTCTTGTTTTTACCCTGATGGATCATGGGGGAGAATAATGGATTCAGTTATGAGAAGCAGTAATAGATTTTTTTAAACTGATATAAATTTCTCTTCCTGTATAGAATAAAAGGATCAGGAAAGAGGTAGGCTGAATTTCCTACAATGAGCCTGCTCTTGTTGAAGTTACCTCTCATAAATTGTAGCCAAGCACTTTTCGTGTAATGTTTTATTTATGTAATTCAGCTATTTGGAGATGGTAGTGAGGGATATGAGTACATCATTTTATGTGGTATTTCAAATTATTTTTGACAAAAACCTTAAGAAGTTTTGTGATCGAAAAATTCAAAATTCCATTAAGCCTCCTTTTAAAAACATACGGAATGAAATAGGTTTAAATTACCCAAGGTCAAAGAGGCACAGAGTAGAGTTGAAGCAGTTGTACAGAACTGAATATTTTGTCATCAAACACAAAGTCAAATCCACAGTGATCAGGAATGGACAACCATTCTATACGAGTGGGTAGCCTGAAAGCACACCAGTGAAGAAGACTGTAGGGAGATACTACCTTATTCACAACTACTACACACATGTTTCTGTATGACAGCTATGTGGATCTACAGTACCATGAGAAACACCAACTCGTTTGACTAGTTGTCTGAAGGAAAAAACATCTTGGGAAGCTTACTATATAGCCCAGATACAATTTCAAAGAGGAAAATGGCCCAAATGGCACCACGAAGAGTGTCAAGAATATGCTGTACCTGCAATCATGTTCTTCTTGGTATAGTTGATCATAAGCTATTTGGATCAAGATGCCTTCCTGGTAGGTTGTTTATAGTGACATTTTGGGATTGTTTGCAGGGGTGCATTGGACATGAACTAATTAACTAATTGTGATGAATTAATTAACACCTTACTCAATTGTATCACCATCTCTCACCACTGTTAAAGTAAACAGGATTGCTATACCTCAGAATATATACCAAGAATGCTCATTGGCCTGTGGACTTATCTGAAAATGGTTGATTCTTGTATTTCCTGGCATCACTAATAGGAAGCTTTGACTGTAATCATCAGCATGATGCCAAAACTCAGTGTTATAGGAAAACAAAACTGGAAAAGTTGGCAGAGAATACCTATAAATATTTTAAACCCTTGACCGCAGCAATGTTTTAATGTCTATAGTACCATTCTTCAGTGCTAAATTGCCCCACTAAACTCTTTCTGAGCTTTATCTTTCCTTTCCCTTTATTTATGTATTTTGATAGGGTTTCTCATGTAGATCAGGCTAGCCATATTTAGTCCTCAAGTCATCCTGCTTCCATGTCCTGAGTACATGGTATACATGTATCACCAAACCCAGAGTACTTTTTTCTCTTTAAAAGAGCTGTTTGGTATCTCAAATTTACTTGTTTCATTAAGAAATAAAGTAGAGAATGAAAGTAGATGATAGTGTATAAGCAAAATGAAGAATGAAATTATGGTATTTCAGGAAATGAATGAAATTGGATGATAACATGTCAAATAACCAGCCACAGAAAGAAGTATCACATGTTTTCTTTCATATATAGAAACTTAAAAAACTGAGCTGAACATAGAAGGGAGACTATTAGAAGTGGGAAAGAAGAAAGACAGGTGGGTAGATCTCTGTGAGTTCAAGACAAATTCCAGGACAATCAGGGCTTTGTGGAAAGCCAAACAAAACCAAAACAAACAATTTCCATTTAAACCCCAAGTCTCCCCTAAACTCCCTCCAAAAACAAAAAGCAAAGCCATAAACCAAACCAAATAATCCAGGATCTGTGATGTTGTCTTTGCCAAATACACACTGCAGTGCATGGAGCTGGGCTGATGGGGAAATCACTACCCATGTGGCCATTTGCTCTGGTGATAGGCATGGGGACTTTGCTACATCTCACACCAGCAGTTATACCCTTGGATTTGGAAGATGTCTACCCTACCTTTGTTCCTATTTATCAGTTGCATTCTTGTGACTCTCTTCACATACAAGAAAAGCTGGCTTTGCTGTCCCACTGTGTGTTAATAAGCTTCAGCCACACTCAGTGAGTAACACAAGAGTCTGTCGTGATGTTACATTAAAACTTCAGGTGATGCCAACTTGTCTACTGCCATATATACACATCCATTGCTTTCTTCCTTGCTTGCTTATGAGTGTGTGCATGTGTGCCTGTGTGTGTGTGTGTCTATGGTGTATATGTGTGGGTTGGGATGCTGGCTTGTGTGTGCATCTTTGGAGGCCAGAAGTTGATCGTGAATGTCTTCACTTTCTTATTTTTTGAGATAGA